CCACAGAAGGTATTCTCACTAATTGATGGGAATCACCAAAATCACTCCACGAAGCCGAATTGTGCCTGAAAGGATTCCCACGTAAGTTTTAGCAAGGCGGGAACTTCGTGTGACACCACGAGCTGGAAGACATTAGCGAAGAATTCAGTTGTAGGTGTTTTGGTTTTCTGTTTCTCACAAGGTGGTTTGGTGGAACATCCACTCAATATAAGGGCTACGTTTTGGACTGAATCGCTGATTTCAGAGGCATGGATATGTTTCATGCTATTTACGAGCTGCAATCCTAAGTGCCTCATCAACTGTAGTCGTTACGACATCCTGCCAGGTATGCCTCATGAAGGCAACAATGCTTTGAAAACAATCTCACCAGCGGTTGCACCACTCAAGCAAGAAAGTCCACTTGCACGCAAGAATTAACTTATCGTGAATAAGGAGTACATAGTTGCATCTGTGTAATAGAGTAATTAGGAGCCTACTGCAGTCTGCAGAGCACACTATTGCCTAGAAGATCGTCACAGCGAGAGCGTCACCATGTAGGCAATATAGCACTCAAAAGTCGTCCTAATCTGATTGGAAGCCACAACTGCGGCATGAAGGTATCAGCCATATTCGAACACTGATTCCTCTTATCACAGAACTTCCTCTTTTCACGAATGTTGCATCAAAGCTAAGCAAATCAATAGGCACTAACGTAGAAAGGATAAAAATTCATTTATAAATTTGACATAGCTTGAATTCTATGCATCACTGTAACATAGTATCGATCAAATCACTGGTACAGTTATTAAATGGTTATAGGTTTTGTGAGATGACTAGAGATTAGCATATGCATCGCCCTGGATTGCATTCTAATCCGAAGCAATCCTCTTCAGCGGTCTCAGCTGTGCACGTCTTCTGGTTGCAGAATTTCAACAAGGCGTCGAGGAAGAACGGATATCCAGCCTTTTTCAAACCCTGAAAGAGTTAATGAAATGAAATGAAATGTCAATAAGGTCACAAAATTTTGATAAGGTCATTCAGTCGGACCCTAGCTTTGAAGAGAGCTCCATGTCGTCGCTAAGGGCCAGCCTGCAACTTTCCTCATCGCTGTATCTGCGATTTCAAAGTGTGAGGGGGCCCAATGTGGGTGAGCCATTCCGGACATCCCAGTTTTTCACGAATCATAAGAGTTTCATTCATCCCAGAGCTTCCAACCCCTTGATAGTTGTAGGATATGATAGCGCTGACGCAGAACTGCAGAATGGCCGCTACAAGGTACGCAGCTCAAGGAGCTTCACTAACCGTGATCACAAAGGAATTTATTGGATTCATTACAAACGCGGGTTTTCGTGGCCTTGACCGAACCCTACATTAGATTGATTACAGTTTTCATCCAGATGACAACGGAGAAGCTGTTCAGTAGAGCAGACGACCCATCGAAATCAAACAACACAAGTATTTACCTCGTTACAATCGCAGAAGTGCAGATCACTGCAAGAGCCCTTGAGTCCTCCACAATCGGCGTCCGTTTTACAGCTGTAAGTACACACATGAGATCATCTTCTCCCTCAATGTGCTATTGGATACCTGAAGAAATTTCTGCAACTCATGCAATTGCATCTACCGACGAATGTCCCTAAGCACGATCCACCGGGGCAGTCATCATTTGTGTAGCAGAGATCGAACACCTTGCAGCGATGGGCTGGCTGAAAGAAGGAGAGATAGAGAGGTTTCCTCAATCAAGATTTGAAAGAAATTGAAGACAAAGTGTACCACCTCTTGGACTCAACTTCCCATGAAGTGAATGGGTAGGGAGCTGCAGAAACGTGCCACTTATGTCAGAAATGCACGAGAACGGAGCTAAGGGGTATTCGCCCGGTTTTATGTTCATGCTCCCCCTCGTGGCCAGGCATGCGCCTAGCCATAACCAAACACGCCATTTAGTTAGCGCTC